TTACATTACTGTTTGTTTTTATCATTAACAAATACATGTGAGAGCATTCTAATGTGTAGTTTATCAGTGTGGAGCCAATTTTACATACTTTGGGTAGATTCGGAGTAAAAGTACTGCAAAGTGCAATATACAAGTGTATTGTACATAAACTTGTCACACAAAGTGCATAACATGTAAGTAAGATAAAATAAAAGTGACAATTTAAACACTGAGAATATAAAAATATATTATTTTATGTAAAATCTTTATCTGAAAGGAAACAAAAGCTGGCTTAATGTAGTGGAGTAGAAAGTACAATATTTCCCTCTGAACTGTAGTGGAGTGGGAGTATAAAATAGCAAAACCTGAAAGAAACCAGATTAAAGGGTATACATGCACCGAATAATCTGACTATTGGGGAAAAAGCTAGATGTGTTTATCTGATTTCTCATAATCAAATAATGGCTTTTATCTGATAAAGCACATCGGATTATGCTGTTTACATGACCACTTGAATAATCAGGTAACTCCAGAAATCCGATAATGATCGGTTTATTAGTGTGCATGTAAACGCGCTCAATGTCTTCACCTCTAAATAGATGGCACTTTGAAATGCGGTGCTAAGGCTCAACGGGTCAATGGAGTGCCGGCTTAAGAGGAAAGATCTCTTGTATTTCAAGTCATTTTCAGTTTTTTTCCTCTAAAATATTTACTGATTTGTCACTGGTTAATGGGTGTTGAGCTAACAAAAGCAAAATTAACCAAAACTGACTTCCCTAGATGTAAGTGAAATGTACATTTATATTTTTCTGGTGTTTTCCACCATTTATTTGCCTTTATCAACTGTATGGTCAGCAATTCACAGATTCTCAAAAATCAATCTATTTATACATAATTTGATTTAGATTATAATTCACTTTGTAATTCACAAATATTTAATCATCTTTTCATTAGACTTTTATTCATCCCTCTTTGTCAAATTATCTCACTGAATATCAGTTACTGAATTGCCTTAAAGGGATTTGTGGGACTTCTTAGTCCTCCATATATCTGTATACAGACTGGAAGTGCCAGGCGACACCCAGGCCAGTCCATTCAAACTGGTCTCATAATTCTGTGCAAGAATTAATAAAAGCTCAGCTGGCAGCGAGGTTTTCTTCCACCAGTCGTCACCACAGGGAATAGTCTGTCTGTCTGTCTGTATTAGCGCCATAAGAAACTCTATTTTTAAAACTCATATTGAAACTCACCTATTTACCATTCAGTATCTCCACAGCCGTCTGTGCTTTATAAATGTGATTTCTCTCCTGAGGGCCTCGAGATCTCAAACTGTCTACCAGTGCCCTTCATACTGCTTCCTTTGTCCCTCCTCCACCTCCTCTGCCTCTCTCACTTCCACCAGCTCTGCAGTCGTTGCCGGTCCTGCCTCCAGTCCGTTTGGTTTCCATCCTTTTCCTCCCTGTGTGGTTTCATCCCCTGACCCTGCCCTGTTCGTAATCATCACTGGTCATGTCCTGCTTCTCACCTCTGCTGCTCTGGCAAAGCTCAGCTCTGCTTTCATTGCTCATCATGTCCCGCTGTCCCACTTGCTGCCCTACACCTCCACTGGCTTGATGCTGCCATGACGTTGATCTCTGCTGCCAACACGAGGGCCTCCAATTACTGCTGTGAGTCAGAAAGCACTGGACGACGCTTCTAAACAAACTGAGCTGTTGTCTTTGATGTTCTCCCTCTCCTCTGCAAATGTGGTGAATTATAGGTGATTCACATTTGAACAGTACATCTCTCCTCTGTCCCTGAAACACACGCTCAGATACACGCAATCACTCACTCACGGACAAGCACGCACTTTTCAAAACAATACTGTCACGACCAAACAGGGGTTCAGAGTGTGATGTTGTTGACACCGGTTTTCTCCACTTTTGCAGAGTGCTTGAATTACTCTGTCATAATTGAATTTGTTGTGATGCTGTGGTGTCTTACAGCACGTCTGTGGAAAATGCAGTTTCAATAAATTAGATTTCATTTGACCCCAAAATCACATAAAAATGTTTGTATAAGATATTATTATTGTTATTATAATTATTATGCTTGTTATTATTATTGTTATGCCAATTATTATTTATTGTTATTATATTGACAAGACCGGCACTTAGTCTGTGTTGTGATTTATTATGATTGCATTTCACTTCTGCTGGACGGCATCCAAAGAGAAAAGCTGGACCTGATGCATCAGCAGCTAACTGTGCTGTAATGGTGGAGAAATTAGAGTCCCGAACACACACACACACACACACACACACACACACACACACACACTTACAAATGCACACGCACTCACACACAGACATACAAACCAGTACCAACTGTGTTCAAAATCACACTTAAATAAAAGTCAGTCCTGATTAATTATACAGTATTGTTAGCAAAATATAGTTAAAGTATAAAACATAGAAGTAAAATGCCCCCATGAGTGTTTTATTATCATATATGACATTATTAGATTATTAATACAGATGCAATAATGCGTAATTACCATTTTACTGTTGTGTGACAGTTTAGTCAAGTGATTCCCAACCTGTGAGTCAGGTCACCTCCAAAGGGTCACAAGGTAAATAAATGTGAGAGGTCATAATGCACTAAATGAGGAAAAACCTAAAAGTTCTTCTACATAAATTTATGTTGATGTTTCTTTTTCTTAAATTTCTCGTAATCTTTGCTTTTTTGTGAATGATAGGATAAAGTTACCTTCTTGGGGTCTCAAACTTTTTAAAACAAAAGTTACAGAGGAGTTGTGGGGAGGGTTGATGGTTCACCTTTGAAGGGGGTAATTTGAACTATGGGCGTGGGGTTGCAAGAAAGATGAACAGGTTTATGATGTCATTTGTTTGTTTGCAATTATATGTATAGTTTGGCTGTTTCCACCTAACCACTTTCGAAATAAGTGTTTTTAGTTATGCATTTAAGTGCCATCCGCTGGGATTTCTTATGTCATGATACTCCTGTGAGTCGCTGTGCTTTTAAAATTCCAAATAAAAATCAAATCAAACTATTTTAAATGATTTATTATTTAAATGAAACCATGTCAGAAGTTTAGAGAGAAATTCTTTGGGCCATTTGGTGTAACTGCTAACAACTCTTAGGCACCTGAAACATGACAGAAGGCCAAACTAAACCTATTATTTTGTAAGTGGTCATAAAACAAATAGATTGAATACCAGTGGTTTAGATATTACAACCTGTTCTAAGTCCAAGGGCGTCAAATTGTCTTCTGAGGCTTTAGCGTGACAGAATACGGTGGGACAGAAGGGTGGTGGATGGGTCAAACAAATACAGGACTTTCACACAGGAGACCACTGTTTGTTCCCTGTGTGAGACGTTAAGTTTTTTTAAAAAACTATGTTACAATGTTAACGTCATGTGCCATATGTGTCATGTGACATGCATATCACATAGTCTTGCCACCATCAGAGATCTCCGCCTTCTGATAGTCTGGGGACACTCCTTACTAAAGTGTGTTTAACACACCGGAGAAAACGGCCGGCAACAAAGCAACGCCTCTTGCATTTTTGAAAAGGACACGCCCTCCCGGAAATGTGCGCTCCCCCTTTTCTCGTCCGAGCTTGAAAATGGATGCCGAGAGATTTAACTCCATTTTATCAAACGTGTGCTCAGTCCACAAGATTGTGGAAATGAAGGACTTACAGCGACTTTGTTTAAAACTTTTAACGCAGTCGGACTATGTTTACGAGCACAAGAGTTCAGCGAGCCACCGAAGGACCGCCCTGCGAATTTACTATTGGTTCTGCAACGTAGGGAGTTTTTTTAAACTCTGAAATTGTATCCGCCCATCTAAACACAAAATCAGGGAGAAAGACATCAGTCTTTAGTTAAGCAAAGCGTCTAAAGACTGATTTGTGAGTCTACATTTCACGTGACATAGGTCATATATATCACATCACAAATGCGCTTATTTTAACCAAAACCATGATTTTTATTCTAAACCTAAGCAAGTAGTTTTGTTGCCTAAACATGAATGATTTTTAGTGATAAAACCTTTTCTGTGATCACATAAGTTTAATTTTAAAAGACACTGTAGCATGTAACAAGTGGAAATGGACACAGGAACTAACACTCTGGGGTTCAGTTCCAGGGGAGGAGCCGGGGATTGGACCGCCAATCTTGCAATTAGGGGACAACCCGCTCTACCTCTGAGTCATAGCCACCTCATGTAACTAGTAAATAGCTGTCAGATAAATGTAGCAGAGAAAAAAGGTACAATTTCCTCTCTTAAGTGGAGGAGAGTAAGGTGAAAAGTGGCATGACTTTGAAAAGAAAAGTACATCAAGAATGTATTCATGTGAGGTAGCCTACTGAAGGCTATGGTATCCTTACTTACTTTCCACCACTGTTTGCAAGCTGAGCTTCTGTACGTATTCTATAAAAGCTCAAAACAGCCAAGGTTGTCTAATTTACTCTGTTGGAAAACTGTACAAAACACCCTTTCTGTCCTCATCAGTACAATAACCAAACTAAATTCTATTTAATCTAGTGTCATGGGAAAACTGTTTTTCAAAAAAAAAAAAGGGAAAATATGGAACTGAATGACCCACATTGATTCACAGCTGTGAGTGAAAACAAGTGGTCTTTCTAAAGCCTAAAGGTTAGAACCTCTGATTAAAATGTGTGTAAAGACAAAATAATCACATATATATTGAGACAAATTAGGCAACAGCTCTATTCAATTTTCTTTTTCATCTGTTTTTTTTGCCCCCTGACATTTTAGCTGACATCATAGTAGTTTATCTCATTCAAAGAACATATTAAGTTCATTATGAAGTTCTGCTATGCAAATTTGTCCAAGACTTTTCAGGCAAACCCCTGTGACTTCATGAACTGTGCTTGGAATTAAGATTTTGAAATTAAACTCATTCACGCCGGCTAAGAGGTTTATATCCCCACTGAACTGAACCCTAATGTAATCCCATATATGCAAAGCTCCTGGGAGCTCATCCTCTCACCTCTTTTTACTTCCCTCTTGGTCCCTCTGCCTCCAGTCCAAACGGCTCTTACGATACAGCAGGTTCATGTCGCTGCGGGGTCGCTCCTCCTCGCAGCCTATCACAGCGCAGTGCAGCCGCTTGCTTCGCCTCTCTATGTCACGCAGGAAATGCTCGACTGCCACATCCTGGGCAGAGCCAGAGCTCATGGTATAGAAGACGACTCGGGAGAAGCGGACGTATGTCACAGGCAGCCTCCTCCAACTCACCTAAACGAGAAGAAACAAGGGCAATGTTTGAGCTCATTAATCATTTAAAAAAAACATGTTTAACAGCTTCCCAGCCTACTTGCAGCTGACAAGACTGACAGTGATTACTTTGAGAAGTGGCGACGCTCAATGAAACCCAAGTAATCAAACCCAAATTACTGGCAGAACTTTAGGGGAGTCGAAGCTTATCATGCTCCCCGTGTCAGAGCAAACAATCCTGCCCATTACTCCAACTGGCAGCCTTCAAAGCAGAGACCCAGTGATGCATGATGATGGAGGTTGCAGTTTTGTTTACCCCAACCTCTAGTGTATCACATGAAAACTATTTATACTTTCATTATCCAGTTATGAATATTTGAGTAAGCATGGTAACTCAGCTGCAGAGCGTCTCTGGCTGCAGGCCCTGGGATGGCCTAGCTAAGCCTGTCTGCTAGCCAGACAGTAATGTGGTTTGTCATATGTAGCGCATGCACAGCTTCCTACTCACGCTCACCCCATGAGAAGTCAGGCTTGTTGTGGGGCAGATATCTGAGGGCCCAACGGTGTTTGCACATTGGAGAATGTGAGTGTGCAACGCAATTGGCTAAGAAAAGCGCATCTGTCAGCTGATGCATGTTTCCGGTGTTTTTCCATCATAAATAGCAACAGAGTTTGGATGTTTTTCTAGTGGTGATCAGTGTAGCTTTGTCATGGGTCCTTCTTGCATCAGTTTGTTGTGAGTTGAGCGGCATTGTTGGTGCACAAAGCTAAATCACATGCATTAAGCTAAGCTTCATATATTGTGTTTACAACACAGTGTTGGGAATGTTAATGGCTCATATTGTCAGGTGTCACAAATCAGAGAACAGTAAAAACATTATAAAACAAATGATGTTCTTGTCTTTTTAAAATCACTGTTGTGCATCCACAACATGTGAGAATAAACTGCATGTGAATCCACTTTAATGAGCTCTGACTTTCACTCTCACATTCTTTGACTAAAGATGCAAGCAGCATGAAAAGGGCAGAAAAAGAAATTCATGACATTTACACTTTCCAGCAGTGTAACAGCTCTACTATCTGCACATATTCAGGACCACTTAAACCACAATTACCGCCAACTTCACAACAATCTTACTGTTAGAACAATATCTCATCCATCTCTCACTATAAAGACAAAAAACTCCACAGTGGGAGCATCAGGCGCTGTCACCTGGTCCAGGCGGCATGTTGAGCTGTGTAGCTGTGTGTGATTCTTTTGTCACGGTCCCAGTGTGTCATCCAGTGTGTCAGCGTGGCTACTGCTATTCTTGTACCCCACAGCCCTCACCACAACCTCGACCGCTCCTGCTGCCATGCTTGCTGACTCAATGTTAATTAGGTTAGGGAGCTGCGACTGTAGGTTGGGCTTTTGTTAACTGGAGCTTTGATTTGGGTTTCGAGGATCTGGCAGCTGAGCGGGCAGCCCTGCAATTGCTGCATTACATGCTGTGGGTTGGTGTGCAATTAGCCGAGCTAAAAGAACCAGGAGACCTTCATCTTACATACATGGAGGTTTGTCTGATCAAACTCTGCTGCAAACATCATTTTTACTGTCTTGACACAAACATGTAGTGCACTCACATAAGCTGGCTGTGATCAATCCCTGGAGTCACTTTAAATCCTGAATAAATTCAGAGCATTTAGCAAGTTGTTTCAGGAGCATCTGTAGGGTCAGGAGTCGCTTGAATTCCTCTCATTAGAACCAGGAGGCAGATGGAGCCATGATTCATTTAGCTGGATCTGCATGCAACGCTGCAGACTACTCATTCATGCACATAAGCAAACAGATCACACACATACTCAAATCCGCCATACATGCTAAACACACACGTGCATAGGGGGTGTGAAGCGGTAATTGCAAATGCTAAGCAGCTGACTTGAGTGTGGGTTAGTGATGAGAGTAGATCATTAAAATAACATTTTGGGTGTAAGAAAGAGCAAAGTTCTGAGTGTAAAATTGTTTAAGATTTCGCTTTGTATCTTCTGTCTAAAATCTTTTCATCTCTCACTGCCACTGAATTTAGCACTTCTGGAACACTTTGTGCTGCAGCCCTCTGCCCTCCAGTCTCCTCCTCAGCAAGTGGCCCTGTAGTGTTGCTGCACCTCACTGTGAGTGAGGCAGTAACGCTGCAGAGTGGAGGGACACAGCACAGCACTGGCCTGGCCTTGACATAAGGGCAATATTTCTAACATATTTAAAATACATATTTAATCACTTTGGGGTATGTTATCCCTTGGTGATTTGCAGACATCTACAAAAAAATCAATTTGAAACAAGATGTTGCTACAAAAACTAACCTGCCTCCTTTTTGTGATTGCAGAAAAAGCATTCACAAGATAAATTTGCCTTTGCAAAGCTGCCTGAATAGAAGCAATTAGATTAAAAGTGCAGATAGTACAGAACATCTTGTTTGTTACAGACATCATCTTGTTTCGTCTGCACACCCAATCCTTGGATGTTTGGGTTTGCATCCTTTTGAGGCTGAATTAAATATGCACAATTAAACTTTGTAACTCAGTATGTAACAGCTAGTAGAGTAAGTAGGAAAGAAATCAGAGGGATTATGTGTGTCCGTGTCTCATTTTATCAGTGGGATCTGTATTTTTAAAAACACAAGATACTGTACATACGCTTGAGTTTATTTAGCTTCTCCCTAACGCCACAGCCTTTTCTGCCCACCACTGTACAGCATCATAAGTTAACCCCACAGTCACACTGTCCACCACAGTCTCCGCACTTCAGCCAGACACATTGCTGCAGTTCAGCCGGAGAAACAAACAGAGAGAGGACGAGACGCAGTGAAGAAGCCGGAGTGAAACGTTCAGGAGAAGAATGAGCAGCGAGAGAGGAGGAGAGATGGAGGCAGCGGGAGAGAGACAGACGGGAGGGGGCACGACGAAAAATGGGGGAAGCCAATAAACAGAGAGTCACTGAGGGATCAACCGGGCCGAAGATAAATATGATTAGGCGGAAAACGGAAAACTGGAGACAGGCTGATAGAAGGGAATATTAAGGAAGGGAACATGGGAGTGGAGGGAATAAGCAAATGGAGGCGAGGAAGAGAAGATAGAAAAACAGTGAAAGGCAGCCAGACTACAAGAATGGGGGAGGGAGGTGAAATCAAGCCTCTCACACTAGTCGCTGTGTGTGGTCTCCTAGCAACACTGTCAGCCATGCATCTCTTCCTTAGCCACTGAATATGCAACAAAGGAGGACGTCAGCCTCGTCATACGTGATGATCCCAGGGTTAAACTTCATTTGTACCTGGTCCCCCCAGTAACAGCATATCTCATATATCTTAAAAGGAGATAGCATCTGTTACCAATAGCAACCATACAACCTTGCTGCTAACACTGATGACGTACTGAGCTACATACTGCACACTCTCTAGATCTTACAAAGGCTGCGGTTTGAGCTCTATCCAAAATATACACTCACAATAACTTGACATGACTTTCTTTTTCATTGAATGCTTTAAAATGCTCTAAAGGTTTATTTGGAATATTTTCTTTGTCAGCTGAATCCCTCCTGCAGCCCTCCAGCTGCAACTCTGGATATGAGAGGCCAGTTATTAAAAATCAGGCATAGGTGTTAGTATAGTAGCATTTCATCACCTGTCACAGTGGTAAAGAGGGCCTTGGAGTGAAATACATATTAATGTGAGCTTGGAGAATAAAACACTAAGACTGGAGTACTAAAACAGGAGCTTTGTGAAATCATACCTTGTTCCTCTTAAGAAACTGGTCGTGTTCACTGATCTCTAAACACACGCTCATGTGTTTCTTTTCAAACACCAACTTCCACATGTGCTGGATGGTCTGCACAAAACAATGAGACAAATAATAAGCACATGATTCAGCTAGTAAAACGTTCCCAGCCCATTGTTTCTAATCTTCATTTTCCTTTATCAAACATACCTCGAGAGCAGAGGCTTATGTGACGTGATAGGATGCATCATTTCATCAGCGTTTAACGGATGGCAAAGCAAAACCAGCTTTCACAAGATAAATATTGACCAGTGCCAGGAACCAAGGTCTGCAGAGGATTCATTTCCTTCCTTCTAATGAACATCTGGTTGGTTCTACTTTTTCACTTTCAAATGCACAACTCATTTGTTTCAAACTCTTAAAGGCACATCTTCAGTGGTGACGGTGATTTTGGGTCATGGCAGCAGGGTCACGCTAATGATATCTGTCAACTGATGGCATTAATAACTAAGGCATAATAATTAAGTTTAGAAGATGCATAGAAGGAAACTGAAAACTAATGTTTGCAAATAATTTATGTGACTGAATTACATCTTTAAAGTAATGGTTTAGTATTTTGGGAACTGAACTTTCCTGCCAACCAGCAATATCCGGGGCTGAAAAATGAAGGCGACGCAGAAGTGCCAAAAACTGCAGTTCTTTGAATGGCCACCTGAGGCTGGCTCCGAAAGTCCATGTTAAAATTCCCAACTTCACAATAGAAATAAACATGTTTACAGCCTGGTACAAAAAAACTGCTTAAGTCTGTAAAGCTTCATGACAATTGTATGGGGGGGGGGGGGGTTAAATTTTATTAAGCTCGAGTAGGAAGTTTTATTTTGGCATCACCGGGCAGAAATTCCATGATAAACTTTGGGCATATTGTAGTTTAAGTGGTCTGACAGAACACTAGACTTCTGCACGTCAGCTTGTTAGGCTTTAGAAAATCTAACCCTCGACAGGAGACTTTGGCCAATCAAAGGCCATTTTCAGAGAGCAGCTGTCAATCATGTCAGTCACTGCTCCTGAGCTACAGTCAAACTGCCAACTAGGCAGCGCTGATCAAATATGAATCAAGATTAAGTTACTGCATTGCCTATTTCTCTCCTCAAATGTAATTATTTTTCAGAAAGTTTGTGACCCAGCCGCCATGTTGAAAGCAGATGAGCCAACACAGAGCACCGCCCACTGGCCAGACCTACTATTTCATTTTACAGCTAAACAGTACATTA